GATAGTAGCAACAGCTTTTCCAGGTTCTGCAGTCATCTGAACAAAATTATAGACATTCAGCACATTCCATTAAAAAAAAAAACAAAAAACAAAAAAAAAAACAAACAAAGAAAAGAATAATATCCAGAAAACAGCAAAGTTCTGTTGCTGTTGTGCTACCTGGCACCATTTTTTCTATTAGCCTCTTAATCATCATCTGGAAAGAGAACATTCTAGAGTAATATCATTAAATGTAGCTCTGATAAAGCATGGTCACTACTACGTATCATAAAGCAGGTACAAGATATTTTACATTTACAGAGGATAATGACTTTTCTTAATTGCAAATGTGAAGCTTCTTGATAGGGTACAGCAAACTCATTTAGCTCACCTTGGTGTTTATACATGATCTGTTTACTTATATTTTTAAAAAATCACCCAAGTTATTTGTTAGATTTTTAATAGCTTCCTACCATTGAAATTTTAAAGCAACTTGTATCAGGACTCACTAGAGAAAGATTTAATATTATATATGTGTGAAATGAATTGATATGATATGATATGATACGTAAAGGATTTACAAAAGAGGTCTACTATGGCTTTCTTCAGAGTAAGGAAGAATGTAAAATGACTGAGTGCTGGGGTGGGGGCAGAGGATCCAGTCAAAAGTTAAAGGCGTGGAGCTCACTGCTTAGTGCCATGTGAGTCCTAATCAGGAAGCTAAGGGTTCTGCACTGGAATCCTGAAGAGTATGGAGTGGAAGGAAAACATACGCACTGGAAAGCTGGAGTCTGTGCTAGAAGCCTGGAGAGCAATATCCAAAAGCAATGGCGAATACCAGAGATCCTCCAAATAAGCCAAAAACAAAACTTCCTCCTTTCCCTTTTTATTCCAGCCAGGCTACAAGCCTCTGGATTGGTGCCACCCACATCCAGGCTGGGTCTTTCCTTTTCAGTAAGTCAATCACCCAGACACCCCCAAAACTGTGCTAGACCAAGCTGATGGGTGTTTCTTATTCAAGTTGACAACACAATTAACTGTCCCATGACTAAAAAATTGTTGTACAAAAGCACAGCACCATTATTCATTATAGTGAAAAAACTGGACTTTTTACAAAGTGTCCAACAGTATGAAAATAAGAAAATTATAATATATTTTGATTAAATATTACATATCCCTTAAAATCAATAAGTTAAAAAACTACATAATGACATAGGTCAATATGTACAAAAATTAAATAGAAATAATAGAGTATGAAATTGTAGACATGCTATGGTTATAACTAAGTAAATATACAAAAATTTATAGTTAAAATGGAACAGAAAAGTAAGAATAGCTGTATTGCTATGGTGATTTATGAATTTGCTCTTTAAAAATTTTATCATTGTTTTAATCACTTTTGAAATGGATTATGAGTTTTCTGGAAATGATTCACCACCTTTTTAGGATCTTCATTATATGTATGAAATATCCTTTATATTTTAGTGTTGGAGATTGAATTTAGAGCTTCATGCATGCCAAGCATATACTGTCTGTGAGGTACACCTCCAGCTGCTGATATTTCTAATGTATAAGGAAAAGAAAAAGAGTAAAACATACTAGAAACTTAATAAAAGGGATATTGTGTTTTGGTTGCCTAAAAAAACAGTGCCATTTTTATTTCTAGAGGTAGGCTGGGAAAAATTAGGATAAGTTTGTAGAGATCTCTTTGTAATTTTGTTGTTTCTTTTTAAACTTTAGGGACAAAATTATGCTGATGCCCTACAGTGGTACTTTTATTCTCTGAAGTTTTATGAATCTCATCAAGCAGATTTGGACTTGGCCAAGCTGCAGAGGAACATGGCTTCCTGTTACCTGAATTTGAAGCAACTTGATGAGGTCCTTTCATTCATTTATCTGTTTTAAGAAATAGCAAATGTTCTTACCGTTAGTGGCAGGAGACATGCAGCATTGTGACTTTTTGTCTGTTTAAGACGTATGAGAGTTCCTTCATACAGAACAAGGTCAAATTGACATTTTCTTTATTTGCATACTGTAAACATTAAGTGGATCTCTTTAAAGACATAGAGAATTTGGAAGACTCCTAATCCTACTACTTACTGTTTATTTTTTGCCTCCTGTTCTCCAAGGTAGCATGTTATTGGAGCTCCTAAAAATGTTTTCTGCTACTAATTATCTTTGATATTGTTTTTTGAAGCAGACTAAATTTTACAGTCTACATTTTTGTTAAGCATTCACTGAGAGCAACCATTATATGCACTGTTGGATGAAGCAGCCATTTTTCACTATTGAATTATTATTGCTTGCTTTTTTAAGCATTCTAGAAAATGTTCAGCAATTGATTCCTTCTTAGGACAAAACTCTTGAGGGTAAAAGATATAAAAGCTCTTCAAAAGATACAGCCATTCTACTGTAGTAATTGGGACATTTCTTCCTTTGGGTAAATTGTGCATATAATTAGAGTATTGTCTCCTGGTAGTGCATGATAGTAAAAGGACAAGTGTGGACTCAGTGAAATATGAAAGTTTTTGTTAACTTTCAAGTTTTAATTACAGGATTTGGGGAACAAATGATTAATGGTAGTGATTTCAGAAATTTTCTTTAGAGGTTTGTTTATGTTGAAGGATTGTTTGCTCTCCTAAATACTTCATATTTTCCATCAAAATAATTTCTATTTAGTTCATACATTGTAAGTTTATAGCTCTACAGAAGTTGAAACGTTGCTTAATTTGTCATATCTCATCACAACCTATTATTTAACTATGTCAGAAATATAGTTGTCTACTGTATAAGACCAGAAAAGAAGACGATACACAGATTTTGTTACCTAATTCATTGTATTTCTGCACATGGTGGTATTAATTATTTCAGAAAGATAGTTGCCTACTGTTTATTTTAAATTTTTTATTAGTACACATTTGTAGTACATAATGATTACATTTCTTACAGAGAAATACATAACACTATTAATTCTTTTTACTTCCCCTTCATCTTCTCTCCTTCCCTCCGCGATCTATTGATCCCCTTCCCATTTGCAAAAGCACTGTCTGCCTACTGTTAAAAGACATGTGAACAAGGGACTGGGATTTGGCTCAGTGGTTCCACCGCCTGCCTTGCAAGCAGCAAAAACAAAAAGAGTACCAAAAACAAAAACAAAGACATGTAAAGAAAGGAGTCACACAGCTTTTATAGCTTCCATGTTTTATGAAATAGTGGGACAGGTAGCTTGGGAAGGACCTTGACCTGGAGATAGACATGCCACTCTGTAGAGGATATCTAACAGCTAGTCAAGATAGAAAAAAGACCTCAGTACCAGACAATGAGCTAGGCTTTGACATTACATAAATAAATAAAACATGGGCTTCTTTTGACTTATCTAAACTGGGTATCCTAATGAGCAGATAAGCAGCACATGATAGTGAGAGAAATCTAAGTATTGTAAATATTTCATAAATCAGGCATTCAGATAGGTATATTCCCATGAGCAAGTCAGTAGGGAACAGATTTCAACTGAAATTTGTAAACACAGTTAATGATCAAGTCTCTGAGGCATGTGGTTTTGTGTATAAAGGTTAAAAATAGCAAGATAGTAATCCACTTTTTTTTTCCACATTGAGTTTATTGGTACATTTTAGGTATACAGTACAGTTGCATTCATAATTCGGATCTTGTAACTTTACCTGACAAGTCTTGGTTCTCATTTTTTCCCCTTGTCCCTGCCCTCCCTTCATCTCTCCTCCCCTCCCCCCTTACAAATACTTTATTTCCATTTTTTCATTTTCCTTATTTTTCCCCGTATTAGCTTTGCCCTTCTCTTCCCATTTTCCCCACACCTTTACCCCTATCTTTGTATTTCACATTGTCTATTTTTTAATTCTTTTTTTCATTATTTAGAGAATACTTTATTAGTTTCTGTAATCAAACCCACGTAGTGTCCATTTTATCATTAGGATCTTATGTATTATTATAGTTTATTCATTTTATCTTTAGGATCTTATGTATTATTATAGTTTATTCATACCAGAGAAGCTATTCAGTATTTACACGTGTGACTTATTTATTTCACTTAGGGGTATATCCTCAATATGTATCCATTTTCCTAAGAATGAATCTAATTTCTCATTCTTTATGGCTGAGTAATATTCCACATCATAGAAAAACCACATCTTCTTTATCCACTTTCCAACTGATGGGCAGTTGGGCTGTTTCCAAGTTTTAGCTCTTACAAACTGTGCTGCTATAAACAAAGGTGCTCATATATCTCTGTGATATGAGTCTTTTAATTCTTTTGGAAAGATACCCAGCAGAGGGATGGCTAAGTCAAATGGAACCTCTAGTCCCAACTCTTTGAGGTATCTCCATATTGATTTCCATAGTGGTTGCACCAGTCTGCACTCCTACCAACAATGGAGAAGGGTTCCTTTCTCCCCACAACCCTGCCAACATTTGTTATTGTGTGATTTCTTGATAGCAGCCACTCTTTGTGACATGAGGTGGAATCTCAGTGTTGTTTTCATCTGCATCTCTTGGATGACCAGTGATGTGGAACATTTTTTCATATATTTACTTGGTGCTTTTACTTCTTTGTCTGAGAAGTGTCTGTTCATTTCAGATGTCCATTTTTGAATCGGGTCTTTATATTTGGGGGGGGCTGATTGTTTTGAGTTCTTTATTTATTCTAGATAAGATTCCTTTGTCTGAGGAGCAGCTGGTAAAAATTTTTTCCCACATTGTAGGTTGTCTTTTAGTTCTGTTGATGGTTTCTTTTGCAGTGCAGAAGTTTTTTAATTAGATGAGATTCCTGGGCTACACAGTGAGTTCCAGGTCAGTCTCAACTACATAGTGAGACCCTGTCTCAAAACACCAAAAAAAAGATGAGATCCCAGTTGTTGATTCTTTCTGCTAATCCCCGTGCTACTGAGCATTTGTTCATAAAATCTTTTCCTCTGCCTGTTTCTTCAAGAGTTCTGCCTAAATAATCTTCCAGGAAGTTTAGTGTTTCTGTTTTAATATCTAGACCTTTAATCCTGTTGGATTTTAATTTAGTGCATTGTGATAGATAAGGGCCCAGTTTTAATCTTTGGCAAGTTGATATCCAGTTTTTCCAATACCATTTATTAAAGAGGCTATTTTTCCTCCACTGAAGATGGTCAGCTCCTGTACAAAGATGACGTAGCTGAGTATATCTGGATTTGTTTTTGTGTCTTCCAGTCTGTTCTACTGATCCTCAGATCTGTTTCTTTGCCAGTACCACACTGTTTTTATCACAGTGGCTTTGTAGTATAGTTTCAAATTAGGAATTGTTATACCCACTACCATGTCTCTGTTGCCTTGGATGGCTTTTGCTATTCTAGGTCTCTTATGGTTACAAATGAATTTTTGGATTGTTTTTTCTAGTTCTGTGAAATACAGTGTTGGAATTTCAATTGGTATTGCATTGAATCTGTATAGCAGTTTTGGTAGTATGGCCATTTTCACTATGTTGACTCTTCCTACAGAGGAGCAGGGGATATCTTTCCATTTTCTTATTTCCGCTTTGACCTCTTTTTTCAGAGTGCTGTAGTTTTCAGTGTAGAGGTCTTTTACTTCTTTGTTAGATTAATTCCTAGATACTTTATTTTTTTAATGCTATTTGGAAAGGAATTGTTTCCCTAATTTCTCTCTCATGACACTGTTATTTTTGTATAAGAAGGCTATTGATTTTGGGGTGTTTATCTTGTATCCAGCTACTCTAAGTCTAGGAGTCTTTTGGTGGAGTTGTTTGGGTTTTCAATGTAGAATATCATACAGTCAGCAAATAATGACAGTCTAAATTCTTCCTTTCCTATTTTTATTGCTTTAATTTCTTTCTCTTGTCTAATTGCTGTGGCTAATGTTTCCAGAACTATATTGAAGAGGAGTGGTGATAGTGGGCATCCTTGTCTTGTTCCTGATTTTAACGTGAAAGTTTTCAGTTTTTGGCCATTTAATATGATATTGGCTGTTGGTTTTTCATAGATAGCCTTTATTAAGTTGAGATATAGACCATCTATTCCACTTTTTGCAGGGTTTTTATCATGAATGGCTGTTGAATTTTGTCGCATGCTTTTTCTGCATCTATTGAGAGGATCATATGGTTTTTGTCCTTGGCTTTGTTAATATAGTGTATTACATTTATTGACTTACGTATGTAGCACCATCCTTGCATCCCTGGAATAAATAGGGCTTGGTCAGGATGTATGATCTTGTTGATGATCCTCTGTATTCTGTTTACTAGTATCTTATTAAGGATTTTTGCATCTATATTCATTAAGGAGATTGACCTGTAGTTCTCTTTTTTAGTTTTGTCTTTCCATGGTTTGGCAATCAAAGTGATACTTACTTCCAGGAATGAATTTGGAAGTATTGCTTCCCTTTCAATTTCATTGAAAAGTTTCAAGAGTAAAGGCAGTAGTTCTTCTCTAAATGTCTTGTAAAATTGAGCAGTGAATCCATCAGGACCTGGGGTTTTTTTTGTTGGTAAATTTTTAATTACATTTTCAATTTCACTGATTGTGGTTGGGGTGTGTAAAATGTTTTTCTCTTCTTTGTTCAACTTTGGTAATTCATAAGTATCTAAACATCTGTCCATTTCTTCTGTGTTTTCCATTTTATTAGAGTACAGGTTCTCAAAGTAGGTATTAATGATGTTCTGGATTTCTGTTGGATCTGTTGTCAATTTGCCTTTTTCATTCCTGACTGCATGGATCTGAGCCTTTTCTTTCCTTTTTTTCATAAGGTTAGCTAAGGGTTTATCAATTTTATTTATTCTTTCAAAAAACCAACTCTTCGATTCATTTATTTTTTTGTATAGTTTTCTTAGTTTCTATTGCATTGATTTCTGCTCTAATTTTTATAAT